GCCTCTATTGAATCTCCTAGGCATCTCTAGTCTCTCCAAGTAACTGAAGCCTGCATCCCTGTTACCACTCTAGTAAAATGTTTCCATGTCCTCTTATATTTGTGCCACATCTTGAGAAGAGAGACACAATGTTTAGCTGTATCAGGACCTTATTTCAACTAATGTGTATAAGCTCTGGTGACTTCCCATTTGAAAGAGCAACGCTACATTAAACATGGATCGGAATAATCTCAAACTCAAAACACTTGTCACTGACAGGCTGTGACTACATGAAAATTGTTTCTTCTTGCCATGTCTTTGTGCTTAAAAGATAAGACTGCATGCAAGCTACACACCATTCTGACTTGGAAATATATTCCTTCAGTGTTGCCTGGTCAAAATCCATGAACTCCCTCTCTAATAGCAGTGTGGGTATGCCCAAAGCAAATGGATTGCAAGAAGGCAGCTCACCGCCAACGTTTCCAGGGCAATCAGGAATGGGCAATGAATACTGGCCACACCCTGTGAATGTATTTTGTAAAAGGTCTGAAATGAATTGCTAAGTTTCAAATCTGGTGAAGCCACTCTGACTGGTGGTGTGGAAACCTTCATGTGAAACGCTTCTGAAGGTCATTGTCCTTCCACCGATTAACACGAGCTGAGCAGCCTTGGCGAGGAATTTCAATCTAATCGTAGCTGGATTTTTGGTTGCTTCCCACTGCTGTCCTGTGTAGGGTTTTCTCAAAACTGAGAAACATCCTTGCTATGAAACTTTGCCAAGGGGCTCCTGGAAATTCAAAGCAAGCATTTTTCTGCTCAGTTCTAAGGAAGTGTCACTGGACCCGAAACGTTAACTCTGTTTTTTCCTTCAAAGATGCTGCCAGACCTGCTGAGCTTTTCCAGCAACTTCTGTTTTTGTTCCTGATTCACAGCATCCGCAGTTCTTTTGGTTTTTATTTTTCTGCTCTTGTTGTTTGACTTGAATGCTCTCATACAAACATGCAGAAGGGGCTCTGCAATGTCAGGTGAGGTACGTGTTTACTGGGTGTTAATGTTTTATCAGATATCTGTTCAACATTTCCTTAGGGTGATAGACAACTCTAGAACAAATAGGTAAACTGCTGTACCATTTTTCGGTACATAATTAGCATCCCATCCCTGGCCCTGCATCAACATTGATGGACAAATAAATGGTATATGTTATAAAGATTTAATTTAATTAATTTTCACAAGAGCTGACAAATTGAAATTGTACTAAATGGTTTGTGCATCTACATTTCATCTGCGGAGTAGCTGTAACGGTAGCTGCATGCTGAGGATGTCTGTTTCAATTGAATCTTAAATCAGCTTTTGCATTGTACACGAGATAATTTGAAGTAATTTAACATTAATCTGATTTTAAGACTGAAAGCAGTTTAAATCAGAAGGAATAGTACTGTGACAAATTAGGCAGAGCAGAGCTCATGGCAAGCAGGTGCTCCTGAACTAAAGAAAAACTGAAAAGCTTAATCCTGCAGCATGGAAGCAGTGACTCATTTTGTATTGTGGTAACAAGATCAGTGCCAGCTGTAGTGAGATCTTTCAAGCAGAGTTTGGCTTCCAACCCATCTACTCCTGGATTCTTATCATGTTATTCCAGGCATTCCCCCTTCTTCATTACAGAAAGGGCACCAGAACCTGTTATAATGACAAACCTAATCTATCCAACCTAGCAGTCAACTGTGTCTTATCACTGTCTGTGAGAGATCAATTCTTGTCTCACTGAAACAGAGCAGCAGCTGGCATTGGGTTGTGAAAATAAACACTCCCTCCAGATTCCTAAGGTTTTCCAAGTAATTCAATAAAATCAATTGTACAAATGTCAAAGATTTATATCATTTAGCAAGATTAGAACTGTGATCAGCAACCACAGTTGAGATATCCTTATGCCAATTGGAAGCAAACCTCTAAAGTGTTCAGTTCTGTAATAAATGTACATAATTTAGAGAGAATAGAGAAATAGCTTTGTCTTTTAATTTGGAAATGTATTTTATAACTTTGTGAAAAAAAAATTCACAATTTTTAGCCAAATTTGAAGTGAACCTATGAATATCTCAATGGTAAGGTCAATAGCATTATTGTTTGGGACTGACATTAAGAATTAATCTTTATATTTCATTTGAATTGCTCACACTTCACTGAACAACACAGTAGTGCTTAGAGTTTGTTGTACGGGGCTAGTGTGTAATTGATTCAAAAATTGATGCAGGTTTTAAAGAGATTCTCTGAATTTTTTTTGAAGAAAGGCTACATCCCGTACTGTCTTGGGATATCTGAGTTGTAGAGTCATTGAGGTTATTAGATGTCCGTCATGTTTATGCTGGTCAAAAACAAACACCACTGTTCTAATCCCATTTTCCAGCACTGGGTGCATAGCCTTGTATGTCTTGAGTATGTTAAAGATGTTTTATAAATGCACGTTGCTGTTGTTCCTATGAAAGTCTCGCATGCTTATCAGGAAATCATATTTTCCAATATAATAAAGGGTTTACTTTGTTAAATTAGATTATATTCTTCTTAAGAGGATATACATCTACAAAGATGTTTAAAACCTGAGCTGTGTTCACCGATTATAATTCAATGGAGAAGACTCTAATACAGATTATAAAACATTAAACAGTCAGAGTTTTTAACAACACAGGAAAAGGCCATTCAGCCCATTGTGTCATATTTGGTCATGAAATATGCATCTACTTTAATCTCATTTTCCAGCACCTGCCCTGTAGCCTCATATGCAAAGGCGTTTCAAGTGTTCATCTAAATGCTTCTTAACTATCTTGAGGGTTTTTGCTTCTCCCACCCTTTTCGGCTGTATCCATTTATTTATTTTTGGAAGTGAAAACTAATCAATAGTTCTCTTAAACGAGGGACGCCATTTGTCTTCCACTATTAATCGTGGCACATTTATGCCAAGCAACAATATGAAGGAATCTAATGGGAAACAGACTCAAGCAATCATGCATAGTCTGAGGATAATGGTACACTGATAACAGATTATGGTGCAATATCTGTTAGACAGATTGACATTTTGTGACATTCAACTATCAGGAGACAGAAAAATAGAGAATAACAATATGGAAATAGATCTTCATAATGCTGGATTTTAAACATGGCATATGTAAAATTTTAAAAACTTTATTTCTCGACATTGTGTAGTGAACTGAAATACATTAGAAATGGCCACAGGAAGTCTGAACTGTGATTTGATGTTAAGATTGTGAAGTACTTTTGAAGGAATGCCTGCTGCAAGCTAATTGAAATAAATTCTATTTTGTACATGAAAGACCTAGATGTTTATTGTGATGCTGTTTGCATGTTAACAATTGTATTGCTAATGGGATTTAAATCCAATACATACATACTATTTGGAAACTCAGGAATAGTCACATTTCATTTGATAATTTACAATGTATCATCACAAGATGCACTGCACACCTTGCTAAATCTCCTCAGATAGCATTTTCCAAACCCACGACCGCTTCTATCTAGAAGGACAAGGGCAGCAGATACATGCGAACACCACAACCTGCAAGTTCCCCTCCAGCCACTTACCATCCTGACTTGGAAATAAATTGCCATTCCTTCAATGTCACTGGGTCAAAATCTTGGAATTCCCTCCCCAGCAGTATTTTGGTCAACCTACAGCACATGGACTGCAGAGGGTCAAGGAAGCAGCTCAGCTTTTCAAGGACATTTAGGGATGGGTAATAAATACTGGCTGAACCAATGACACTCACATCTCATAACTGTTTCATACACAAACGTCCTTATGTTGAATTAGGCAGCAAAGGAGTTTCAGTGATTTATAAGCCTTTCATTGTAAATCCATAGTACAAAAACAACTCCTAGTTTTCTCTTCTGGTCCCTTTCCCTGTCCAGAAGGCAACACCTCACTGGCTTTTCTTTTGGTTAGATGTTTTCTAACCAACGTGTGCAGTTATGTTAATACACACCTTTGGAGCAGGTTAAACTTGAACCCAGGCCTCTTGGCCAGAGTTAGGGGCACCACCACTGTGCCATAAGAGCCCTTTTGCTGTGTTTTGCCTAGAATTGTCTAATTCAAGCTTCATTTCATCCAAGTTTGGTGACTGTTCATTAAATAGATCACAATACAACAATAGATAGGTATTACATGTGTGGTCGCGTGTACCAGGATGCAGCAGTGATGTTACATTGTTGTACACCATTGCAGTGAGGGAGGCAGAAGTTTATAGAACAAATTCTGGTCAAGCCCAGTCTCATGCAGGCAACTTGTCCCTTCCTTTGGATATATTCCTTCTCTAAGGTCAATCGCCTCGGACCAGAGAAAGCCACAGGATTTCAGAGTCTGGCTCCAATAGAGAAAGGCCAGATTGAATGTTCTTCAGTGCAGTTTGTCAGTGGTACTCACTGCTGCCACAGTATATCAGTGATGGAGTGAATGAATGTTGAGGGTGGTGGAAGGGATGCTCATCCAGGACATTGCTGTATCCTGGAAAATGCAGAGACCTTGAGTGTTGGAGCTACACCCATCCAGGTAAGTGGGAAGTATTCCATCACACTCCTTACTTATGCCTTGCACATGAGTGGATAGGCTTTGGAGAGTCAGAAGTTGAGTTACTCACCAGAGAACTCCCAAGCTCTGACCTGTCCATTAGTCTCTGTCTCTCTCCCTTTTGTTGAAGTCTTATCTCTGCACCTGTGTTTAAATGTTTGAATGTATGTGGAATATATGTCAACTGATTTTGCTTAACAATTGGTCCTGTGAACTGCCTCATTATTGTCTTAAATGCACTGCAAAAAATATGCATTGCTGTTTTGACTGACATTATGATGGGAGATGTAATCATCTTGACTTTTTGAAATGTTGCCCTCTTTTGAAGGTGATAGGCTTTCTGCATGGCTGTGAATGACCTTGAAGAATACATTGTGTTTGTGCATTTTGGTTATTTGTCAGTTCTGGATTTGTCTTCTAGATTTTTGGATCGTTATTTTCCGAGAAGATGCCACAGTGGGGTGGTGGAGCCAAATGTGCTGCCTGTGAAAAGACAGTCTACCATGCTGAGGAGATACAATGCAACAGCAGAAGTTTCCATAAAACCTGCTTTATCTGCAGTAAGTAAGCTTCTTCCATCATGTCCCCCCCTCTCACCCCCCAAAGAAGGTCTGAGAGACAATCTAACTCAACAAGATGAGCTTGGCATTAGGGTCCCCCTCCAACCTTAACCTATGAAATTCTCATTGTATGACCAGCTGATTGTTCTCCAGTGATTCTGATCCATATTACCCCATGCAGTCTAAACCAGAAACTCATTACTGTTTAGTAGCTAACGTTCTGTTAGTTAGTGGATTTGTGGGCATTGTAGAAGACAGACATGTGATGTATGTGACAGCATGAGTAACTGTGAGCAACAACAGTAATTTGCTTATTAACAGTACTTTGGCTACATTATTGCCCATTTGTAGTCATTGAAGTTCTCTCCTATCATGCCTGGGTTAGCTGGACAGTAATCTAAAATCAAAATCATATTCTTTGCTAGCATAAACAAAATCTCAATCTGCTGGTCACCTTCAGTCATTTGTGTGCGTATCGCTTTGGTCCATCTGCTCCTCGTCCCCTTCTAAATGTACCCTCTGTGTCACAAACTCGAAGAATGCTGGAGAAATTTGGTAGGTCTAGCAGCATCTGTGGAGAGAGAAACAGAGTTAATGTTTCAAGTCCAATATGACTGTTCTTCAAAATTTCAGAACAGTTCTGAAGAAGAATTACGTAGAACTCAAAATGTTAACTTTATTTCTCTCTCCACAGATGCTACCTGCCTAGTTTCTCCTGCATTCTGTGTTTGTTTAGATTTCCATATTGTTTTTACCTTTTAATGCTTATCAAAATTAACTGCTCCACACTCGTGCATTAAATTTCATCTGCCATTTGCCTCCTATCCCATCACTGACTTAAGCTTGATCATTACCCTCTTCACAGTTCATCTTCAGTTCTTGAAATTATATCAATGTAGTCCATATATCAAGTTTTTCCTGCTTACTACATGTGCAGTTTTTTCTTATCAAACCACTTTCTCATTACAGTTAGGCTTTTAGTGTTCATTTTGCTAAATAAATTCACCAGCAGCTGTGGTTTCCATCAGCCTCCTGCTTTTGTTGCTTTTCAGTGAACTGTAGAAAAGCCCTGGACAGCACTACAGTGGCTGCACATGAAGCTGAGATCTACTGCAAGGCTTGCTACGGCAAGAAATATGGGCCAAAAGGCTATGGTTATGGTCAAGGTGCTGGTACCCTTAGCTCTGAGACACTGGAAACTCCTGGCACGCATCATGTGGAGTAAGTGTTTAAAATATAAAGCATATTTCTGAAGGATGGATGGATTCATTTTGGGAGAAAGGAAGAGGAGAGACAGCATAAACCAAAGGATACAATTCTAAAGGGGGTGTAACAGCAGAGGGGCTGGAGGTTATATAGACAAAAATCATTGAAGATGACAAGGCTATTTGAGAGAATGGTTAAAAGACTGTGTGTTGATTCTTGGGCTTTTATAAATAGGCACAGAGAGTACAAAAACAGGAAAGCTGCAATCAACCTATATTAGAATACAATAAGTTACAATAATCCTGTGTAAAACATCGGTTTAGCCTTCAACTGAAATGTTGTATCTGGTTCTGGCATCACAAGTCTCCAGGTCCAAATGGATTTCAACAAGGTGGTTAATGATGTAATAAATGCACTAGCTAATTTTCTGAAGCTCACTTGATTCTGGAAAGGACTGGAAAGCAAGAAACATAACCCCTCTGTTTGTGAGGGAAGAGAGGCAGTAAAAAAGGGGAACCATGGACCAATTAGCTTGGCTGTCGTTGGCATTCAATCAAGTTATAGCTTGGCATTTAGGAAAATGCAAGATAATTAAATAAGATGATTTTGCAAAAGGAATATCATTTAATTCATTGATTGGAGTTTTTGAAGGAGTCATGTGCACTGTGTATAAAGGAGACCCTGCTAATGGACGAGACTTGGATTTCTAGAAGGATTTGACAAGGTGCCACGTAAAAGGTTAGTGTGGAAAGTAGAGGCTCAATGTCTAGCGGGTTATATATTAGCATGGATAGAAGATTGACTGATGATAGAAAACAAAGAGCGTTTAAATGAGTTTTTACCAGGATGTCATAAATCATAGAAGGCCTACAGTGTGGAAACAGGCCCTTCAGCCCAACAAGTCCACACCGCCCCTCAGAGCATCCCACCCAGACCCATCCCTCATAACCCACCTAATCTACACATCCCTAAACACTACAGGTAATTTAGCCTGGCCAATCCACCTAGATTGCACATCTTTGGACCGTGGGAGGAAACTGGAGTGCCCGGAGGAAACCCACACAGACATGAGGAGAACGTGCAAACCACAGACAGTCACCCGCTGGTGGAATTGAACCTGGGTCCCTGGTGCTGTGAGGTAGTAGTGCTAACCACTGAGCCACCATATTGCCCCAAACATGATAAGCATAGGCCCACAGGGATCTGTGCTGGGACCTCAACATTTTACAATTTACACCAATGCTTTAATGAAGTGAAGACATGATGGCTAAAGTTGCAGCTGACACAAAGTAGGAATATATGCTGTGAAAGGGCCATAAGAATGTTTCAGGTAGCTGTAAATCAGTTGAGTGGATGGGCAAAAATCTGGCAAATGGAGTATAATGTGGGAAAAGGTGAAACTGTTCATTTTGGCAGGAGGAGTAAAAAAGTACAGTATTAACTAAACAGAGGGCAATTGCAGAATTCCAAGGTGCAGAGAGATCCAGGTGTTCTAGTGCATTCATCACAAAAAGCTAGTCTGCAACTACAAGTAACTAAAGAAATTAATGAGATGTCGTCCTTTATTACGAGAGGAATTGAACATAAAATTAAGGATGTTCTGCTTCAGGTACACAAGGTGTTGGTGAGACCACATCTCAAATACATTGTGCAGTTTTGGTCTCCTTATTTAAGTAAGGGTGTAAATGCATCGGAGATGGGTCAGAGGAGATTCACTAGATTGATACTTGCCGTGAGTGGGTCGTTTATGAAGATAGTTTCGACAGGCTGGGCTTGTTTCCACTGGAGTTTAGAAGAGTGAGGGGTGATTTAATTGACGTGTATAAGATGCTGAATGCCGTTGACAAGTTGGACAGGAAAAGGATGTTTCAGTCCCAGACTAGGAGATACTATTTACCAACCATATAGAGATTTATAAGACCATGAGAGGCATGGATAGGGTGAACAGCCAATTTTCCTAGGGTGGATGAGTCCACAACTATGGTTTAAGGTGGAAAGATTTTAAAGTACCTGAGGGGTAACTTTTTCACGCGGAGGGTGGTGTGTCTATGGAACGAGTTGCCAGGGGAAGTGGTGGAGGCAGGTACAATTACAACATTTAAAAGGCATTTAAAATGGGTACATGAATAGAAAGGGATATAAGCCAAATGCTGGCAAATGGGACTAGGTCAGATTGGGATGTCTGGTCAGTGTGGACAAGTTGGACCAAAGAGTCTGTTTCCATGCTGTACATCTCTATGACTCCATAAGTCAAGATTGGGTTTTTTATGACAGAAATTAGGAGACATATTTTCTCTCAGAGGGCTGTGCAACTTTGGAAATCTGTGCCTCAGAAGGTGTTGAGGTAGAAGTGTCATTAAATATTTTTAGGACAGAGTTGGATTGACTCTTGTTGGGCAGAGGATCAAGATTTATTGGGAATAAATGGGAATGGGGAATTCAAAACACAAACAGATCAGCCATGATCTTATTGAATGGGGGAGCAGGCTCAAAGGGCTGAATGGTCTGCCTCTCTTCCTAATTTGAATGGTTCATACTTCAGGAAGAATGTGAAGACTTTGGAGAAGATGCCGCAAAGTTTCCTGAGAATGATCCCAGGATTGAAGAATGTTAGCTGTGTAAAATAGCTTGCAGAAGCTGGGTCAGTCATCTTTGGAGAGGAGAAAGTTGAGAAGAAATTTGATTGAGAGACACAAAATCATGGGACAGCATAGATGGGGAGAAACTGTTCCCATTGGTGGAAGGATTGAGACCCAGATGAGACTGATGTGGGGTGATTGGCAAGAAGAAAGGCAAACAAGAAGCATTTCTCTTAATGCAGTGAGTGGTTGGAATCTGGAATGCACTGCCTTAGAGGGTGCAGTGGCTTTTGCAAAGCAATTGGATCATTATCTAGAGAAGAACCATTGTAGGGCTGTGAACAAAAGGCAGGTAGATGGCACTTGCTCCTGCAGAGAGCTGGCACAAACATTTCAGGCTGAATGGCCTCTTTGAATGCTGTAATTCTTGTATGAATGGAGTGATAATACCCTCATGCACATTTGCTGACCAGAAATTACTGAGACTGTTCGTGAACAGATTGATATTCAGAAAGAAAAAGAGCTTCAGATGTCATCAGTGGCTCGAGAGAACTCAAATAATTCGTTGTTATGAATCTTCTAAAGATGAAAACAGCCACACAAATTGAAATTTGAATCATAGCTATCTCAAACTGAGTTTCTGATGGAAAATGTGTATCATTATAAATCCAATCTAGTTTTCCGAGTCTCTATTGTAGTCCAGTATTAAAACACAATCTGTGTGATTCTGTGCTGATCTATCTCCCAGTGTGGACATGGATACAGATCAGTACTTGAATAAATGCCTCCGCATGTTGTGCAGTATGGAACAAATCACATTTCAATTTAATTATCGTGTTTGTGTGCACCTCATGCTGTTTCTTTTTCACTCCATTTGTCACAGTTGCAATGTGAAACAAAGGAGCAATGTATTTTTACAGAGAATGTTGGAAACACTCATTAGGTCAGGCTGCAACTGTGCAGGGAGTTCATGGTTCCGATTCAAGAGAAAGCTAGAAGGATTGTAGAATAATTCTGGGGCGATCTTTCCCTCTGGCTGTTCAATCTCACTTCTTCCTGTATCTGCAGCTGAGTATCACCAGCATTTGCTATTTCTCACTTTCAATTTGCAGCATCTACAATAATTGTTTTTATTCGTTGATGGGATGAGGGCATCACTGACCAGGCAGCATTTATAGCCCATTCCTAATTGTCCAGAGGGCAGTTAAGAGTCAACCACATTACTATGGGCCTGGAGTCACATGTAGGCCAGACCAGGTAAAGATGGAAGTTTCCTTCCCTAAAGGATATGAGTGAATCAGATGGGTTTTTCCCAACAATTGACAATGGATTCATGGCCATCATTATATTCTCAATTCTAAATATTTTATTGAATTCATCTTCTGAAGGCCACTCCAGGGAGTTACTGTAGGGCACTGAGAGAACACACAGACTCTTCTCCAGGCAAGAATTCCACAGGCTCCCCATTCTCGGAGTGAAAAAGATTTCTCTGCATCCCAATCTTAAATAGCCTATCCTGGATCCTTAGGCTGTAGCCCCTGGTTCAGGAGCCCACAGTTTTGGAGGTATTATATTGACATGGGTAGAGAATGAGCAGGAACCAGCAAGTGGGGTTAAGGGGTTCTTTTTCAGGTTAGCCACCTGTGACCATTGGGTTTCCTTTTTTTTCTTTATTCATTAACGGGATGTGGGCATCACTGGCTAGGCAGCATTTATTGCCCATCCCTAATTGCCCAGAGAGCAGTTCAGAGTCAACCACACATTGCTGTGGGTCTGGAGTCACATGTAGGCCAAATCAGGTAAGGATGGCAGTTTCCTTCCCTAAAGGACATTAATGAACAAGATGGGTTTATCCAACAATCAACAATGGATTCATGGTCATCATTAGATCCTTAATTCCAGATATTTAATTGAGTTCAAATTCCACCATCTGCCAGGATCTGTGCTGGGACTACAAGTGTTTACAATATATATTAATGACTTGGAGGAAGGCAGTGGCCAAATTTACTGATGACACAAAAATAAGTGGAAAGGGAGTTTATGAAATCAAACAGTTTACAGAGAGATATTGACAAGTTAAGTAAGTGGGAGACAAGTTAACAAATGGAGTATTATGTAGAAAAATATGAAGTTATTCATTTTGGAAGGACGAACAAAGAACACTGTATTATCTAAATGGAGAAAAACTGCAGAAAGCTGCAAAACAAAGGGACTTGGAGGAATTTGTGCACAATACACAGAAAGCTAGTACACAGAGGCAGCATGGAATCAAGAAAGCTAATGGAATGTTAGCCCTTATTTCAAGGGGTTTGGAGCATAAGAGTAGAGATGTCTTACCGCAACTGTGCAAGTTGCTGGTGAGACCATATTTGGAGTATTGTGAGCAGTTTTGGCCCTGTTATTTAAGGAAAGATATCATTTCATCGGAGGCAGTTCAGAGAATGTTCACTGGGATATCTCTGGTATGGAGAGACTGTCTTATGAGTGAAGGCCAAACAGGTTGAGACTCAACTCTTTGGAATTGAGGAAAATGAGAGGCAAACTCTTTGAAACATATAAAAATCTTAAGGGGATTGACAGGGTAAATGCTGAGAGGATGTTTCCGCTCATGGGAGAGTCTAGGACTAGCGGGCATAATCTCAGAATAAAGGGACATCAATTTAAGACTGAGATGATGTGGAGGTGCTGATGTTGGACTGGATTGGACAAGGTCAAAAATCACACAACACCAAGTTGTAGTCCAACAGGTTTATTTGAAAACACAAGCTTTCGTAGCATAGCTCCTTCATCAGATGCTCCAAAAGCTAATGTTTTCAAATAAACCTGTTGGACTATAACTTGGTGTCATGTGATTTAGGACTGAGATAAGGAGGAACTTCTTCTCTCAAATGGTTGGAGCCTTTGAAACTGCTTGCCAAAGAGAGCTGAGGGTGCCAGAATCCTTTTGTATATTTAAGGTTGAGATAGATATATTCGATCTGAAGGAGAATCAAGTATTACAGGGAAAGGGCAGGAAAGTGGATGTGAGGAATGTCAGATCAGTCATGATCCTATGGAATAGCAGAGCAGGCCCGAAGAGTAGAATTTTACCATGTCTAATTCTGTTAGAACTTCATAAGTTTCTGAGTTCTGCACATATTCTTCTAAACTCCAGTGAGTATTGTCTTAACCAATCCAGTCTGTCTTCATACATCAGCCCTTCAGTCTCAGGAATCAGTCTGGTAAAGCTTCATAGCCAGAGCACCCTTCCTCGGAGAATGGGTGGGTGATAAATCATTGCCAATCCAGCAATGCTCATGTCCCATTAAAAAAGTTATATTAAAGTTATATTCGATAATTGAGGTGCATCACAGCCAAACCCATGGATACCATGGTTATCAACTAAACCACTGAGAATGTTTTCTTTCTTGTTCACCCAAGTGGTACGAAGCAGTTTTAATATTCTGTCCACCGCTGCAGATGGGATCAACATTGATCAGAGATCAGGAAAACTGATCATTTATAGACACTTGCTTTTAAAAGAGGTTTACTTTGTGAGAAACTCTTTCTTCGAAAGCAGCTGGGGCATTATTTTTAGGCTGCATTTACAGCCACCAAACTGCAGGAGGTGCACTCACCACCCACGCAGTCACTGTACCTGTGGTGTTTCTGCAGCAATGCCCAGGGAGGTACCTCTATCAAAGAACAGCGGCAATAAAATGACGTTTTTCCAACGTTGTAAGCAAATTCAAATCCTGGACCAGTCTGTCTCAATCCAAATGCTTCTCTGCATCACACCCATTCCCCATAATGCCTGCCTCCCACTCAGCGCCATGTTACCATCTCCCACCTTCAGGAGTGAGGGAGTGAGGCAGCGAGTGGGAGGGAGGCAGTGAGGGATCAGGAGCAGAGCAGAAAGGGAGGTAGAGAGCAAGGTGATGAGCAGAGGAATGGGACTCAGAGTGAGGGGGCGAGTGTGGGAGCAGGGCATTGAGCTGAGCAGAGTGAAGGGTGTGACGTTGGCAGGAGTTCCTTTGTTTTCTCTGACACCAAGCAAACAGCTATGGGAAGAATCAGCTTCCAGCTTTGACATTATAAGCACCAATTTCCTGTGCCATTGCAGTGGCAGGAGTCACTCAATCATTTTAAAGGTATCTGATTTATATTGTATCTCAAAATAATCTTGGTATTCATCACTTTTGTCAGGGAGTTAAAAAAATAGTTGGGTCAGTCAGTCATTCCTGAACATTCAGCTGATCCAATAGCAGGAATAAATTATCCCATTGGAAGTTAGTTTTTGCAACCTCTCAACTAGGAGTTTGTAGACTATAAGATAAAGGAGTATAATTAGGCCATTCAGCCCACTGAGTCTGCTCTGCCATTCAATGAGATCGTGGCTGATCTGATAATCCTTAACTCCACTTTCCTGCCTTTTCCCCATAACCAGTAGAACATAGAACAGAATTGCACAGGAACAGGCCCTTCGGCCCCCTATGTCTATGCCGACCATGATGCCTTTCTAAAGTATTCATTTGCCTGCACATGGTCCAATTCCCTCTATTCTCTTCTTATTCGTGTGTCTATCCAAATATCTCTTAAACTTTGCTATTGTATCTGCGTCTACCACCTCCCCTGGCAGCACATTTCAGGCTCCTACCACTCTCTGTGTACAAAACTTGCCTCACCATCTGCTTTAAACTTGCCCCCTCTCACCTTAAACCAATGCCCCCTAGAATTTCCACCCTGGGAAAAAGACTCTGACTATCCACCTATCCATGCCTCTCATAATTTTATATACATCTATCAGGTCACTCCTCAGTCTCTGATACTCCAGTGAAAACAATCCAAATTTGTCCAACCTCTCCTTATAGCTAATTCACTACAATCCAGATAACAACCTGGTAAAGAGATAGTAAGAACTGCCGATTCTGGAGAATCTGAGATAACAAGGTGTTGAGCTGGATGAACACAGCAGGCCAAGCAGCATCAGAGGAGCTGGAAAGCTGACGTTTCAGGTTGGGACCCTTCTTCAGAAATCCTTATTTGTAACAGCCTGGTAAATCTCTTTTGCACCCTCTCCAAAGCCTCCACATCCTTCCTATAGTGTGGGGACCGGAACTGCATTCAATAGTCCAAATGTGTCTGAACTAACGTTTTGTACTACTGCAACACGCCTTGCCAACTTTATACTCAATGTTGAAGTTGAATCATTTATTGTCATGTATTAAATACAAAATACAGTGAAAAGTGTGTATTGTCGCTCATACATAGGCGCCATTCACATTAACTTAAGATAACTTAAAGAGGGTTCAACCTATTCCTTCTCTGCTACAGTCCCACTCCAGGCTTCCCAGCCCACACTATGCCACCACCAGGAGCTCTCTCCAGGCCACACCAGCCCATGCCATGCTGCCACCAGGGGCCCTCTCCAGGCTACACCAGCCCATGCCATGCTGCCACCAGGGGCCCACTCTGGGCTACACCAGCCCATGCCATGCCACTGCCAGAGTCCCGCTCCAGGCTTCACAGGCCAGCCAACTCTATAGCCCCACTGCCTCTGAAGATGGCATCGCCGCTCCAGAACCCATCAAAGCCGCCTTCCTACCAAGGAGCTCTCTTTGTCAGGTAAATTTGAGTGAAAACTAAATAAAACTGAGAAAGGAAGAAGAGGAAAATTGAGAAAGAAAAAGGGAAAGAAAGCGGATGAAGCGAACAAGCCCAGGCACAGGAGGCCAGATGCTGCCTGCTCCACCATCGCCATCTTGGACTTCATGTCCTGACCTACGAAGGCAAGAATACCGTACACCTTCATTACCACCCTATCCACTTGTGGTGTCACTTTCAGGGAGCTATGGGCTTGAACTCCAAGAAATCTCTGAATATTTCTGTAAATATACCCTTACTGATTAAAAATCTGTCTATCTCAACCCTGAGTATACTTAGTGAGCCAATCTCAATAGCCCTCTGTGGTATAAAAAAATTTCGACAGATTCACTATCCTCTGAGAGAAAAAGTTCCTCCTTATCTCTGTCTTGAATGTGTGACTCCTTATTCTGAGATGATGTCCTCTGGTTCTAGACTAAGCCCCACCACCACCTCCCCCCCACCCGCCCAAACACACACACACACACACACACAGACACACACACACACACACACACACACACACACACACACGGAGAAACCACCTTTCCACATCTTCCATGTCAAGTCCCCTAAGAATGTTGTTTGCTTCAGAAAGGTCACCTTTCATTCTTCTAAACTCTGATGAGTACAGGCCCAACCTACTCAATCTCTCCTCATAAGACAGTCCCCTCCAAACATGGCATCAGCCTAGTGAACCTTCTCTGCAGTGTCTCCAATCTCAGCGTATCTTTACTTAGATAGGGGTCCCAAAATTGTTCACAGTATTCCAACTGTGTTTACTTAGAAACCTGCAGATTATTAAAATTATTATTTGGAATACTGTGTGCAATTCTGATCTCCCCACTATAAGAAGGATGTTGTGAAACTTGAAAGGGTGCAGAAAAGATTTACAAGGATGTTGCCAGGCTTTGAGGATTTGAGCTACAGCGGGAGGCTGAATAGGCTGGGGCTATTTTCTCTGGAGCTTCAGAGGCTGAGGGTGACATTATGGAAGTTTATAAAATCATAAGGAGCATGGATAGAGTGAATAGCCAAGGTCTTTTCCCCAGGGTAGGGGAATCTAAAACTAGAGGGTAAAGATTTAAGGTGAGAAGAGAAAGATTTAAAGGGGACCTGAGGGGAAACATTTTCACACAGAGGGTGGTGCATATATGGAATGAGCTGCCAGAGGAAGTGATGGAGACAGGTACAATTACAACACTCAAAAGGCATCTGGATGGGTACATGAGTAGGAAGGATTTAGAGGGATATGGGCCAAACGCTGGCAAATGGGACTAGATTAATTTAGGATATCTGGTCAGCATGGACGAATTGGACTGAAGCGGCTGTTTCTGTGCTGTACAGCTCTACAACTCTAAAAGACTAAGAAAGTATAAGCTTTCCATTTTGTGAGCATTCATGTAAGAAGCCTTCACAGTTCATAGGACACAACTGAGGAGCTTCAGTTAAATCGAGCCCAAACATTTGATAGGGAAGAACAATTTCTCTGGATTTTGATCGCTCTAAAGTGACGGTGCTGTGGACTAGATTAAAGTTTGTTTAACTTCTATGATTTTGAAAGTGTTTTCTCCCTTTAGATAGCTTTGTTTGTCTTTTCTTTCTTTTATGTAATAAACTTTGTTGCTATTAAAGGAAATCTGCAGCTTTGTAGCTACTTTTCATTGAATGACCACAATGTTAAATTATTTTTTTTAAAAAGTGATCTATCAAGCCAGATTTTATTCTGGGATCAGTGGTAACATCAGCTAGATTCACAACTTTATGCAACACATTTAAACAATTGATAAGACGCACATGCAAACATTGAATTGAATATCAGAATGCATCTTTCACATTACATTCATAGTCAAACCATATTTACTGCCTTACAATTAGCTTTGAGAAACCTTGGCTGTTTTATTGTCTCTGGTGTAACATACCTATCACACTAACAACGTACTTTGACAAATTTTTACACTATTTATTTAACCTATTTCTTGTTTGCTTTTCCCCCAAGGGCTAAGCCTCGTCCCTCTGCAAACCCTAGCTCCTCCAAATTTGCTCACAAATTTGGTGGTGCCGAAAAGTGCCCACGATGCAGTAAATCTGTGTATGCAGCCGAGAAGGTGATTGGAGGAGGAAAGGTAGGAAAGTGTGACAGCTAGATACTTTATTTTCCTGCATTCTAACTGTAGGTGGCAGGAAGTGAGAGTCATGCAAAATGTAAGTGTAAGATAGCTCACACGTTTGATGATTGCTTCATTTGAGTAACTACAAAGGATGTCTCATTAAAAAAAATGCTTTTGAACCAGTAATAATCCAAACAGAATTTAATGACTTCAACATGAACATAACAGTGATAATCAGGCTGCAGTGATAAAAGTCATACACCACTTACATAATTCTTACAGGGCATGACAGCTTACGGTGAAAAGGACCAGAACTGAACACAATGTTCCAAATGCGGCCTAACTAAGGCTCTATAAAGCTGCAACACTACCTGCCAAATTTTAAACTCAACGCCCCGGCTGATGAAGGCAAGCATGCCATATGCCTTGTTGACTACCCTTTCCACCTGTGTTGCCACTTTCAGTGACCTGTGTACGTGTACACCCAGATCCCTCTGCCTATCAGTACTCTTAAGAGTTCTGCCATTTACTCAGAATAAAGTGTAGGCCATTTGGGGCTGGCATGAGGAGAAATTTCTTCATTCAGAGGATGGTGAATCTTTGAAATTCTCTGTACCAGAAGTCTATGGAAGCTCAATCATTGAACAGGTTGAAGACAAATTTCTGGAGACTAATGGCATCTAAGGATACAGAGATAGTACAGGAAAGTGGCTTTGAGGTAGGTGATCAGCCGTGATCTAATTAAAAAGGGGCAGGCTTGATGGGCTGAATGGCCTATTCTTATTTCTATCTTTAGTTGGAATTCCTAAATGAGTCCAAGAAAAAACATTTGTGAGATATTATTGAAATTATTCTAAAAGCAAAGTAGATCAGGACAATTACATACACGTGAACGTTAGATTTGAGCTGATTAAAAGAGTTGAACTGATTTATGAAGAGTAAAACTAAGAATGAGCTTTTATGACAAACTCTGAAATATAGGCTGAGATTTTCCATGCTGTAGCCTATGTGTCAAGGGTAGTTGTGTTCAGTGGCATCTCCCTCTCCACTATCCACAAGATGCTGAATCAAGCTCCAATAGACATGCCTTGGTGAATCGAACTCTAATCAGCTTGTTTGTTGAGCTTCTTGATGAATTGCATTTGGGGTGCCACCTCATTAGAAGCTACCAGCCAATAGGATATCAGGAGCTTCTGGGTCTTAGACTTCATAGAAATGCAGGCCCTTTCTGTGCCAGACAGAACATCTCCCAAATTATTGACAGTAGGTGATGATTATTGATCTTTGCGCTAGGCAACAGCCCAGCAGGGAGTTCACTTCTGGACAGGGAAAAGCTCCAGAAGAGAAAAGGTAGAAATTGGTGGTTGTGCTAAACTGGAGGCTTACATTTAAGCCCTGGTAAATCTCTGAAAGCCTTTTACTTCCGAATTCAACATAATTCAATCTATTAAAAGCTAGATAACAAGGTGTAGAGCTGGATGAACACAGCAGGCCAAGCAGCATCAGAGGAGCAGGAAAGCTGACGTTTCGGGTTTGGACCCTTCTTCAGAAATGGAGAGTCTTCCACAGATTCACAACCCTTTGGGTGAAGAAGTTCCTCCTGACCTCAGTCCTACATCTGCTTCCCTTTATTTTGAACCAATATCGTAATTCTTATTCTTAACCAATAACTATCCTTCAACAAATGTTAGACTGTCTTTGCTGTACATTTGGGTTGCTGACATTTCCATTCATTGCAATGATGAGAATATTTCAAAATAGGGTGTTTGGTCAGCATTACAGAATACTACCCACAGTGTAGGTTCAATTCCTGCACCAGCTGAGGTTACCATGAATATTCCACCTTCTCAACCTCTCCCCTTGCCTGAGGCATGGTAACCCTCAGGTCAAACCACCACCTGTCGTCTCTTCTCTCTCTTTATTGGGAGAGCAGCCCTATGGTAGGACAATGAAAACTTTACTTTAAATACTTCAAAATGTACTTCATTGACTATTAAGCATTTTGGGATGTCTGTTAAGGTTATGAAAGGTGTGAAAGGTGCAGTAAATATTTTTTCCTGCACCTGACTAATTTCTTTGACAGTATTTTGAGAAAGTGATACCCAAGCATAACAGAAAGTTCTTGAATATGGTCTGCCCTGACTCCCAAAGAGTATTTGATCATGTTCCACACAAAAGTGTAGCTTAAAGCTGGAGGGATGTCAGACAGAACTGGAAAATACATTTTCTTTGAATGATTTAGCAGCAGGATATGTTGGGGTGAAGCGAGCTCCAGAGATCAGTGTTGGGACTCCAACAGTTTCTCATTTACGTTTATAATCTGAATTCAGAAGTTCAGTACCAACTGGCATCATTCACTGGCAATACCAAAGTAGATGACATACCTGTGTCTGAGGGAAAAGAGATGGGAATGGGATTCTGGTTAGCCCTTTCTGTGAGGCAGCATAGATGTGGTAGATTGAATGGCCTCTTTCTGTGCACCGATTCTACCAGGCCCAAGTGGGAAACTACTCGGTGAGGATACAGGATTCACTAACTTGACAGAAAAGAACAGGGCAATGATCGAAGAACAGGCCTGCACAAGCTTCCCTTTAGTCTAGACTTTCACAGGCTTTTCCTTTGTGTGGTATAAATTTTCTTGTATTGTTTTCAAAACTAGTTTAAGTTGTTTTTTATAAAAAGTGAAAGGACTCTACGCCTGTGTTGTGCGTTTGAGACTTCGTTTTGGCCGTTGCTGAGGTAAACTACATTAGGAACCACTGAGTAAGAAACAAATAGGAGTTGGAACAAGCTAAAGCTAAATATTATGTTTTCAGGGCTATCAGGAGTTGAACGATAGCATACCTTCTGGTCTTTGCTGTGCTAAATGGAGTATACAGACTTCCCACACTGACTCAGTGGGTCGTACCCCATGATTTATTGAGTAGGCACACCAGCTAACTTGAGAGCTGATCCTAACCAGGCACATTGTTGGGAGGGATATTGATCCCATAGGAAAATGTTATCACTGGTGATGCTTGCTGAACCTTTTTCTGTGTTTGTGGATGAGGATTAGCCTCTGACATCTTTTATTGCTTTGAGGTTAATTGACCGATGAGAGAGCCATGCTGGATGTGGTGTGGTTTGTCTTCCACAATAAGTCCCCTGTCCCAACTTGAGATTAAGTCTGCCCTTCAGTGTCTGAGCTCACATGTTGAAATGTTATGTGGGCCATATTCTGGAGGGAATGTTTCTTTTGCCAGTGAAGCCATAGGCCAGCATGAGGAAAGCTGTAGATTAGACTTTCAGAGGTGGAGACCGTTGGTATTGAGAAAGGAAAAGCAGACATTGATTTCAAGATCACATAAGTAGCTTACACAATAAATGCGCTCAGTAAATTAGGTTCATTTTTTTTTTCAACTGAATTGCTGAAACCATGATTACAAATTGAGGTGTCAGTCTCCAGGATCCACTTGAGGGAGATTTTCAGGAAAATCCATTCTCTACGCATCCAATATCCGTCAGCAGATTGTTTTCTGCTGAACACCACAGGAAAGTGGACTAGAGTGAGCTTCCATGTAATGTTTCAGATAGTAAAGGGGTGCAGGAAAATGGGGAAAAGGCAGGAAATTTGACTAGGTTGTAGAATCAGTATAGGCAAAACGGGCCAAATGGCCTCCTTCCCTACTGTAACTATTCTGAGATTCTGCTTTCTCTTGGATGGAAAGAAGAGTGGAGGTCCTTATTGTCAGTGTCCATAGCTACAGCTGAGAGGTCTCAGTTTTAGAATAAGGGGTGTCAGATTTAAAACATAGATGAGAAGGACTTACTTCTCTCAAAGGGTCATGAATCTGTGGAGTTTACTCCTCGAGAGAGCGGTGGATGCCGGGACATTGAGTAAATTTAAGGATGAGAGAGGGAATTTTAATGAGTAATGGGTTGAAGGGTTACAGGGAACGGGAAGGAAAGTGAGTGAGGCCGAGATGAGATCAGCCGTGATCATTTAAATAGTGGAGCAGGCTCGAGGGGCTGAATGGCCTACTCCTGTTCTTTTGACTAGACCGCAACATGAAGGCACAAATCCATATTGCCATAGCAACTTGCACTTCCTGAATGATTGGTAACTCACCACCACTAAAGTACTTTAAATCCTATGATTTTAGAACAAATCAATGAGCCAAACATTGCATTAACCTCTGTTTGCAAGGTCAACAGTTTGCATTCTGTAACTAAAGTAGTAGAAGAGTTAATTGGACTTGAAACATTCACTCTGTTTCTCTCTACATGGATGCTGCCAGACCTGCTGAGTTTCTCTGTGTTTGATTCAGATTTCCAGCATCTACTGTATTTGCTTTGATAGGTTTTATTGAAGTTTGTGTTGTCTTAACAATATAGAAATGCAAAATGATTTTGTATCCAAGTAATTTTGAAGTAAGTAAGTATATTCCGGTCTAACTGGAGTCTCTGCTTTTGGACATAGTATTTATTGTGCACTGTTCCATACTGGGCTGGTTCATTTGTCTGTAGTTGGCTCATGGGAAGTAAACATATTATAGGAGGAGAAAAGCAAAACGTTGGGGAAGTGACTGAAGGTCGCAGTAAGAGTTAATAGTTTTGAGGCCACTCAAGGCCACAAGGTCAGACAATATTGTGAAGCTGCAACAAATGTGTCACTGGAAAGGATGTGAAATCATATTAGAGCTTTGTGAGGCACCGATGGTTTACAAATACAAGTGGAATCGATGTGAGTTTGGTTAAACAAGAGGCAGAGGTGACCTGGCTGTAAGTGAGATGGTGCAATCTGGGATTGATACATGAGCTGTGAATCCTCTTGACTGGACTGGAATTATTCAATGTGCAACAACTGTGCATGTGCAGTGACATCAAAGGCATGTTTTCAATATCATTGCACTGACCATTGCCCTTTGAGTGTCAAGGCTAGAAACAGCCAAATCATTCTGGTATGAGAATGGCTCTCGGATGAGGTTTACATTGGGCTTAGTGGGAACCTATTTTTATCAGCTGTAGACACGCTG